GCAGTAGGGCAGCTCTCTCTCTCTCTCTCTCTCTCTCTCTCTCTCTCTCTCTCTCTCTCTCTCTCTCTCTCTCTCTCTCTCTCTCTCTCTCTCTCTCTCTCTCTCTCCACCTCCAGCCCGGCTCTGAGGCCTGGCATTCCAGTCCGCTCTGCACACACTCACATGCTCAAATACACAACCACTGCTTCCTGAAAGACAGGAAGTGAGGCCGGCTTCCTGTGACGGTCCTCTTTCATGTGGTCACTTCCTGGTGTTTGGCTCTTGCTGTTGACTTTCTTCATTGTTCCTGCAGCAGGGGCTTTAATTGTGTGTATGTGAAAGTAGTACTTTGAATATGTAATAGCAGAACATGCAAGGGTATGATGACATGTTTGTCAGGGTTCCCACGGTGAAGGACAGCCTGGAAATATCAAGGAGTTTGACATTTTCGGTTTTTAAAAGACTTTTGCAGACATAATCTAATAATCTAACTAATAAAATCATCAAAAGTCAAGAGAAAGACATCGAAATTGTTATGCTTAGTTTGGTAAGAAATTGCTTATTATCAACACAACGTATATAAAATAATTTTGAAAAGTTATTTTTCAGTGTGTACAAATGACTAGAAATGTCATGGGAATGTGAATGATCAAAAGGTTTGAGAACCATAGTTTGATCATTTATTCACTTCCAAAAACTGAGCATTTGTGAAATATTTTTGTAATAATTGTGTACTTTTAAAAGGTTTTTCCCCAACCTAAAAAAAAAAAAAAAAAAAAAATGTAATGCATAATTGTAACTGGATCAACCAGCATTTTTGTTGTATGAGAAAGAATATGTGACATTTTAGATGATAACAGTTTTGATAATAATTTGTATTCCATGGGGACATTTTATTTCCAGTGCCATTAGAAGAGTTCGGAAGATACGACTCAATTGGACTGACCAAAAAAAAAAAGCTGCATTGAAAATATACACATTAAAACATTAAATATAAAATTAAACATTAAGATAAAATTAATAATTATGTTCTTTCATTCATTGATGTTCTCCATGTAAATGAAAACCTGAATTTCAAATTAAATTTAGAAAAGTACAGTAGTTTGCCACTTGAAGTCAAACTTCCAGATACAAATGTATGACCTCAGGCAAACATGGTGGCATCAACGGAAATGTTCACAGATAAAATCAGTTCCTTTTAAAGCATAATGTAGGCACTTTGAAACATAGAAGCATTTTATATGATCATAAAACTTTTATGAAAAAGTTTAGCAAACATTTGCCGAGATCGAAGTATAAACTCGGTGAACGATCTTCTCTGTTGACAATCACACACCTGCAAAACAAATGAATTGCCATATTATTCTTTAAACGTCATAAATCAGCGATGTAAAGTAAGAATATTACACTTTTTCTACACATATTACATTGGTTACTACAAATTTATTATAGTATAACTGTAACAACTACCGTATTGTGGGCACCGTAAAATATTAAAAAATATAATATATAAAAAATATATATTATATTTATTTATTTATAATTAATAATTCATTTATAATTTTGTGGCATTTTTGCCATTTTATCCAGACCATAGTACAGTTGGAAAGAGGTTATGAAAAGTGGACGTTTTTTAGCGCAGCACAATATGCTGACAATATATATACACACTTCCACTGTAGGTCAACATAATGATATGATTCATTTGCATAGATGACACATTGTGTTCAAACTCGATCATAACATTCCAGAAATTGCTCCGTTTTATATAATGTCGTCTCATTGTGTGTAGTGTTGTGGCATCTGTGGAATGGCAGTATTGTTGTGAACCCAAGATTATAGGATCTTCACACAACAAGAGTGATGGTTGGGGTTTAGTATCCACAGACAGGAATGTGGATTGGGACATTGTAGTTCCAGAAGAGATAGGGTATTAGCGGGCTAGCTGTGATTATGTTTGAACTTTGAACACAGTGATTAGCTGGAATGTCGAAGTTCCTGTGTTCTGCCGCCATTAATACATCAACTATTGTCAAAACAGGCTAAAAATGTGTCGATCGGGAAGGAAGCCGCAGACCTGCACACAGGATGAGCGGGCTTTGATATCGTTTGGGTTCTCTTTGTCGTTTTTTGGTCGCTTTTCGTTTCAAAACGCTCCCCGTCCACACTAGCGTTTTCAAGCATTTTCCAGAAGTTCCTCATCCACGCTGAAACATTGGAAAACGTTGAAATCATCTTACTGGCCATGCGTAACATGTAATAAAAGCTCAAAGAGAGACCAGAAATAATAAAGTGCTCATGCTTTTCTTCTGGCACAACCATTATCTCACCACTTACAGGTGCGTCAAGGTCTCACTCAACCGCCATTCCATGTATGGTCTAAAACGCATCTTTGCAGGAATGTAATATGAAGATTGTACAAAGTAACATGTATTTTCAGCAACACTGTGAATGTGAATAGCACATAGCAAGCACTTACCGGTATAAACATCCATATCTACTGGTACACAATCTGCATCACATGACTAAATGTGTCATTTTTTTTAAATTCCTAAATTTTTTCAGTTCACACTAGAATGCAAAAAAAAAAAAAAAAAAATACGTTTTCAAATGTGTCCATTTTACTTCAGAAAGCTTGCAGGACAAAAATGCCGTCTCTGTGGACAGAAGGGTAGAACAAAAGATGGATTTTCTCAAATGTGTATCTGGATTAATGTGGACTCAGAATGCCACATTCTGTCCTGATATTCCCCAGTTTCCCGGGGCTCCCATTCTTCAAAACCTCTCCATATATCCATCAGTGAACTGTCTTCTAATGTGGTTGTGGTTAAATTTGTCACGCTATACAAGTTTGCGGACTGGCCAAGAGTCATTTCACATGACATGCAAAGTTGTGTTTTAAAGCAGTGATGCTGTGTTTTCTGTTCTGCCATGTGTGGAAAGGATTTAAAAATTTAAGCCAGATGGACCATGTTGTGGTTAGTGGGTTCAGTTTGTACTCTTCTGCTATGGATTCGTGTTGTGCGTAGTGTGTTTTTAATTTTCAGGTTTTGCTTCCCTCTGTTAATGCGGGCACATATAGTGTAGCCTAAGTCTTCATAGGATATTATCTGTCCAGTTATTGTGATAATTCCCTGTTCATGAACCATGTGATGAAATGGCAAGAGATGTTTCTGATTGGCTGGCTTCCCACAAATTCTGGGAGTCCAGTTTTTTTTCTGTGCATTTTTGCAAAATGGTTAGGCCTATAGCAAAATTTTTAGTTTTACTCCATTTTACTTAAGGAAATATGTCATTGTTTTAGAAAACTTACCGACACCGTCATGAGGGTGTACAAAATTCCTTTCTGTGATATCATTTCCTGTTTTATATATATTTTTGTCACATGACAACAGCAAAATGGCTTCCTTGCATGTTGGTTACACCGCATGTTGGTTGAGGCTGCATATCTCGGCTTCCACGTCACCAAGCTGCATCGAAGGCCATCTCAATTTGAAATATTAATTCGGCTTATTTTGAAGGATGCATCAAGTGTGTCATCTGTGTCCTCCAATCATCCCGAAGCCTTTGCACAACTTCCAATAAAAAAAATAAAAAATAAGATTTGGCAGAAAATGAGTCGGCTTTGAGCTTGTCCAATTTCATAATGAAATGCAAGACAAAACAAATCGGAGATAAAGGCATTATGTAATATAATTATGTAAGGTAATATAAATAATTTTTAATATAAAGTATTTTTTTCCAAATTAAGTTTCTGTAGTATTTTCGATATTAATTAAATTTGATCTGTCAATATCTGTTTTATTGTGAGCAGCCCCATATGTGAAACTTAACAGCCACTATAGGATTAATGGGTTAGATTTAAAAGAAAAGAGCAAAAAAAAAAAAAAAACATGTCTCTGCATGTGCTACATGGAGCCTTTTAGTTCACAAACAACAGCAAAGACCATCCTAAGCTGCCATCACATCCTGTAACTATCCATTAACAACTCTAAATTAGACATAGGAAGCATTAGGCCAGCATTTCAAAAATACCCCATTTTCCACCTCTCTAGGGAAAATGGTTCTAATGATTGAGATCACCATGACAACGTAGGTAATGTGTCTATACCAGGCTGAATGTTTACCCATGTTTGCCTGACATTACGGTATTTGAACTCATCAGAATGATAGAAAAGTTCATAATTATACTAGACTAAATTGGCCCTGGTGCTAAAACTATTTTTTGGCAAGAGTAGAATAGCAGGCATAGAAATGGCTGCTTTCGCTGGTCATTTAAGGTCTTTTTAAGTGATTTGTTGCTAATTAAGTCCATTTTTGCTCTCCTGTAAATGAACAGGTAAAGAAACCGAAAATGTTTCGAAATGGGTTTTTGAAACAATTCCCGTCTTCCATTGTTCAGTTGAACAGGTAATTGACAGGTCAAGCCACTCAAACAAGCAAAGCAATTTTTTTAAATGCCAATGATTACTCATAGTTGTGTTGTAAAACTGTCACCTTTAATAATTCGTAAAAAATCGTAACTTTTGGAGGAACAGATTCTTTCTCTTGTACACAAATTTTATAATTGAAAATGGTCTACTAGATAAAGTGTAGCATTTTTAAGACAGATATTTATCATTAATAATAGTCTTGGTGGTCTAAACCTGAGGATTATAAAACTCTCACTAAAAATAGAGTGATGTTTTTATGATTCACAGCAAAACATTGAAGGGATTCTCCGTTCTATTTGAATGCACCATTGAGAGCAATTTGTAAATATTTGCATGAATATGTTTAAAAGAATGGCTGATGTTCAAGGAAAACTGTCTCCTTTGAATGACAGAAAATGATACATATAGGTGAAGGAAAGGGTGAGTGGACGAACGCGGAGGTGAAGAGAAAAGAGAATTTAATAGAAAACAGCTGCTGCGAGGATTTGCACTCTGCTGATTTACCGTCAGAGGGGAATTTACGGGAACGAGGCAAACTACGAACATAACACTCATGCTTTTTCTCCTTGCTCTGCTTCTCTTCCACAGAACTCAATCAGACATAACCTGTCCCTACATAGTAGGTTTATCCGTGTGCAGAATGAGGGGACAGGGAAGAGCTCTTGGTGGATGCTCAACCCTGAAGGCGGCAAAAGCGGCAAGTCGCCTCGCCGCCGGGCCGCCTCCATGGACAACAACAGCAAGTTTGCCAAGAGCAGAGGACGAGCGGCAAAGAAAAAGGTAAAAGCCGCACACCAAACCTTGCTGTGATCTCTTTGATAAACAGTACACACTATCCATGAAAATATGTTATTTTTCTCACGAGTGCTTCTGTCTCTCTCTATATTTATAGCTGGCTCTTCAAGGTGGGCCCGAGGGGGGTGCAGACAGCCCAGGCTCTCAGTACGGCAAGTGGCCCGGTAGTCCAAACTCCCACAGCAACGACGACTTTGATGCCTGGACGGCTTTCCGTCCCCGCACCAGCTCCAATGCCAGCACACTGAGTGGTCGTCTCTCGCCCTTTATTGACGACGAACTTGGCGACTCTGATGTCCACATGGTCTACCCAGGCCCTGGGTCAGGGGCCAAAATGACCTCCACCCTCCCCAGCTTGTCTGAAATGGCTGGTTCTCTGGGTCACAGTGGCCCTGAGAATGTGATGGAAAACCTTCTGGATAACCTCAACTTGCTCTCACCTAAGAACGCATCAGTGGGGCCCGCAGGAGGCCCTGGGTCAGGATCCAACCAGTCCTCACCCTCTTCCCTCATGCAGGCCAGCCCTGGTTACTCCCCCTACAGTTCCCCAGGTCTGGCTGCAGTCAACCAGCAGACTCAACAAGACTATCGTAAGTGTCTTTACGGCCAGGCAGGAATGGGCAGCATGTCCCCCATGCCGATGCAGTCTCTGTCAGAAAGCAAGTCCAGTTTTGGTCCTGGTCCAGGAACTATGGGCCAGTTTAACTGCTCAGCAGGGCTGCTGAAGGAGCTTCTTACGTCTGATGGGGAGTCTGGAGAGCTCCTGCCCTCGGTGGATACCGTTGTCTCCCAGTCAGCTGGAAGTGGTGGATGTATGTTGCCCCCCTACAGCAGTAGGCGGAATGAACTTATGGGAGTTGGAGCATCTCATAGCCATGCCCTCTCTCATCCGCACAATATGCACGGACAAGCCCCGACCACACCTGTGGCATTGAATGGGCGATCACTGCACCCTATGGCCACGATTGGCGGTGTCAGTGGACGCCTGGGAAGCATCAAGTCAGCATTGCATATGCAGTACGGAGGCTCTGGTCATCTTGGAGGTGGAATTCCTTACTGCAGCATCAACAGCAACGGATATGGCCGGGGCCCAGGGATGATGCCCCACCTGCAACAGCAACACCTGGAGAAGCTGCCCAGTGATCTGGACGGTATGCCTGTGGAGCATTTCGATTGTGACGTGGACTCCATCTTGCGCGATACACTCATGGATGGAGAATCGCTGGACTTCAACTTCGACCCCATGGCCACCCAACAGGGGTTCCCGCCTCACAGTGTAAAGACCACCACTCACAGCTGGGTGTCTGGGTAGGGCACTACTTTTATTAAACTTAGGGGGTCAATAAGATGTTTACAAGGTTGTGCTCTTAGACAGTAAAAAAAATTGACATTTTTTATTTCTTCACAGGTAAAAACTCTCAACTGGAGTACAGCAACACTGAGCTGCTGTCCACATGGATCCAAACCTCTCATCAACCCCTCGTCAGGGAACGTAGCCCCTGTTATTCTTTCGCTTTCTTCAACAGAGGCGGCTGAAATGAAACCTCACACTGCCAAGCACATTGGCTCAGTGCGGAGCTAAATTGCAAGGACGTTTTCCTCAGACATTGGGACTCGCGTTCAAACCAAGTGCCAAACCAGGTGCCTGTGCTCCATAGCCAAATTGACAAGCTTTATTTTACTGCCTTCTTCTTGCTGTAGAGAATCTGTGCTCAAATCAGGGCAAAGAGAACCTAAGGCCCTTACATCTGCTGCAGCACACACTTACCAATGTCCACACCAATTTACAGGAATGGTTTTAAAGTCACATTTTCCATTAAGGGCAAAATGTGATAAGGTATAACACGCAGCAGCACACCTCAAGTACATTTGATACACCTCAGAAAGTGTCACCCAAGTTAATAGCTTTCTTTTATTCATTGTGTTGTCAGTTTCACCCTGCAGTTATTGCTGAGGGTAACACATTCATGCTGTGCTTCATAGAGACTCCATGATTGGCCTTATTGGGAAGAAGAACTGGAACAGTTGCAGGAAGGAATGACTGTAAATAGATTTATTTAGAAATGGTCCTGCAGAAACAAGACCTTGAAAACGTTAGGGAAATTGTTGCAGACTAGTTGAACTACGTCGCATACAGCACATCATAACACTTTCATTTCTGTCTCGTCAGCATATTTGATGTAGTGCAGATGTACAGTACTACAATTCTAATGAGTATGTTACTATAAACTGGTGTACAGAGAGTTTACACAATGATATCAACAATCAGGGCAACATATTTAATGTTGTTTTGTAAACCTGAGAAAAACTGGATTTGGTATTCTACATTTTGGTGGGCTTACATGGAAGAATGTTTCTCATCTGAATTGTATACATCTTTCCACATTTCTTGTAAATACATGAAATATATATTTCAAAAACTTATAAAGTAGAAATATTTAGGGTTTTTTTCTTTTGTATTATCATAATTATTCGTATTGCTGTTTATTATTGGCTTGAGATTTATTATTTGGTTTGAGATTTTTGTTATTTAAAGGAATAGTTCGTCCAATGATGAAAAACCTATTTACTCGTGTCATTCCAAACCCATTTATTTATTCTGTGGAACACAAAAAGTGAAAAAAGGTGGTGAATAAGTCTATCAAATCGGGCATCAATATCATGCAATGGCAAACACCAGTTGGTTCATTCAAATTCATCCTTTGTGTGTGATGGAAGAAAGAATGTCACACATGTTTGGAATGACAGGAGGGCGAGTAAAGGATCCCAGAATTAAAATATTTGGATGAATTACTCCTCTAAGCTGTGTATAGTGTGTTTCTTCAGAGGTTTGTGGTCCTCAAAAGACAAATTTAGCATTTAAAAATAATAATAATGAAATCGTCTGTGCATTCCTGTATTAAAAAAAAGATCAGGCCTGTCTTTGTTATGACCCATATAAGAGCTAAATCTAAAGATTCCCATGGTAAGAAAAATTCAGGGGAAAAACCGTTGGATTTTATCTTTCCCTGATTTTTTTACTGGGCCCCGGACACCACCAAAGCCTTTTACAGTGGCTAAAGTAGTTTAGAGCTACAGCGCTAGCAGACTCCAATGCCTTTGCCACCATATCGAATCTGTTGCTGTAGTAATGCTGCAGTTTTCTGCCTTTAAGAAAGTGTAGAGAGTTTTTGACTTAACATTATTTATTTGGCTGAAGGAGAAGTGGTGTGATTGTATCATGTCATGGTGGATCATTTACACTTGTATTATATTTCTGTTTGATTTCACATCTCTCTCAAATTGCAGGCACTGTGATGTATACGTTCTACAAGTTTGTGGTGATTTTCCAAGTCTGTGCTTTTTCAACCTTTGTTTATCATTTCCTTTTCATTTCTCGTTCCCTTTACCGAAAATTTCAGCAGTTTTGCTTCCTTGCACTACTACAGGTAAACCTTCAAAATGTTCAAACTGGTAAAAAATTGAAGCAGGGTGCCAATATCTCAGATAATTCATTAAAGACTTGAAAATATTGAAAATTACTTCTTGAGTAGTCACAGACAGCAACATAATGTTGGCGCAGATCTGGCCCACATCTGGCCCACATCTGGTACACGTGGAATCCACACGTACCAGATGTGGGCCTGATCTCGGCCGACACTATGTTGCTGTCTGGGGTGTTATAAAACAAACGCTGAAGACATTTTAATGCTTTGGAGAAGACTGTGATATATCAGTGGCCAACCTTTAAATATTTAATGCTTAATGTTATTAGACGCCAACACTGTTTTCTAACCAGCAACAATCTGCAAGTTTTGGTTTCTATTCCTGTGGCTTTGTAACTGTGATGCCCTAGCCATTGTGAAATCTAATTGGTCCAAAATTCCACTTTGCATAACTCTATATGTAACATAAAATATGATTGGCTGTGCCATAATTTTCACTTTCAGTATGAACAGACAAATTTCTTGTCGCGCCTAGTTGGGATACAGTGAGGTTCAGTCATTGGACGAAAGTCAGACATCTGTTTACTTCACACCATAAAAATATTATTATTATCAACCTCTGACCCACACTGCCTCACTCAGCACAGGGAAAAGATTGGATGCTTTTTTTTACTAATATCACTGTGCTCAGCATCATCATGAATATGCATTTGCTTTGTGAATTTAGCTGGTGATCCCACCTATGCACATCCATGTACTTTAATGATTATTATGATTATTGTCATCTCCAGTATGTTTTTATCGATGACGAGATATTTGATATTTCATGTTTGATAGAGCTGTGGAGTCATGTTAATGTCACAGATGTTAGTTCATAGTTCTGAAGAATATGAAGTATATTTAGAGAGTAGATAATTTACATGCAAAGCTTTTTGTACACTGACACTGTTATTCTTGTATTTAGAAGCAGTTTGTAGAAAACATGGACTAATGAAAAGGCAAAAAAAAAAATAAATAATAATAATAATTCAAGAAATTTGGAAGAAAATGTATCTGTTTTTCTTCAGATTGTGGAGTTTGGACCAATTTTTAATGAAAAAAAAACTTTAAATTAAAATTTACTGCACTTTGTCTATATAGATGTAATGAGTTCTCTTAGAGATATGAAAAAAGTGAAGATTATCTATTTTGAAACAAACTGTTACATTTCTTAACTTATGTACAGAAATGATTTGATTCACAATCAACAGATGATATAACTAAAGGTGCAATTTGTTTATGTAGTTGAGAAAGTAATAATCTATAAGAGAGAAATGATATTGTTAAGCTGACATGCCAATACTGACATATGTATATTATATCTTCATTCTTTAAGTTCATCAGCAGAGAGCAAACAGTTTGTGAAATGTGAGGCTACAGAGCTCTGGTTTTTGCTCTTGATGCCGATGTTGTGCTTGTATTTCTGTAAAAGAAACATGCTGCCGCTGTAAAAAGCCATGTGTATATAAATTATGTTATATAAAGAAGAATCCAATGTGACGGTCTCTCTGTATTCATTCACAAGGGTACTTTGGAAACTTTGAGGGCTTGTGGGAAATCTCAAAATCATTGTCCAAAAAGTACAGTACAGGTGTGTGACCACTTTGAAGAACCTGGAAAGAAAAAATTATTACGATTTAGAAAAATTATGAAAATGGTATATTCTCAGGGATATCAACACATCTTTAACAGTTTTGACAGACTTACATGCTTAAACACGTTCCTCTAAATCAGTAGCCAGACTGTCATCTGTCAGACAAGGTCAGTTGAACCTTCAAATAATCATTTGAGTCTTTAATAACATGAGTATAAAACTATAGTCATGTGTTTATACTCCCTATGATGTTTAGGAAAGTCCTTAAAATGATCATTGTTAATGTGCAAAGTCATACACAACTTACAAACACAAAAATTTCTAAGTTAAAAAAAAAAACTTTTTAAAGAGGGATAATCACATTTAAATTAACTTTAGCTTCGGTTGAAGAGGACTTTATTTGTATACCTTTTTATACATCTTTTCATTTTTATAAACATTAGTGTTCAATGATACTTGTCATTGTCAGATACGCAGCATTGTCTTTCTGGGCCATTAAAAAAAATACAGTACGACTTAAATGAAAAAAACTTAAATGAGACATTTGAAAAATAACTGATCAAAGTTGGAGAACACCTTCAGGCTACATTAGTCGGATAGATTTGAAAATGTATTTTTCTTTTCAAAACGCTCTCCGTCCGACTCCTCACTAGCGTTTTCAAGCGTTTTCTTAAAGTTTCTCATCCACACTAAAATGTCGGAAAACGCTCAATTCAGCGTATGCGTAAACCCTCATAAAAGATCACTGAGATGAGACAGACAACAAGACATTATCACACAATTCTTCTGGCGGGATCATTTGATTTAGCAAAATATCTCACCATTCACTGATGCGTCCAGGTCGCTCTCAGTCACCATTATGTGTTTGGTCTAAAGCGCGACTGCTCTCGTGTTTTGCGAAGGACAGCAATAGCAAATACATTTTCTGTCATCTTTGCAGGACTGTGATATGAAGAGTGAGCAAAATGACATATTTGAGCAACTGTGTGAAGGCACATAACAGGCACAATACCAGTATAAACATGAATATCTATGGGTTCAATATGCGTCACATGACTAAACTTATGTCATCATTTTTAAAAACATCCATTTTCACAGTCCACTTTATAACGCGAAAATGGCGTTTTCACATGTATCCACTTTGGATAGCGTTTTCAAAAAGCTTTGTGTTCGTTGCTAAAAACGCCGTCTCAGTTTGGACAGAAGGCTAAAATCAGAGAGAAAAAGATGCGTTTTCAATCGAAAGCGTATTAG